GGATGGGGAGAAACTGGAAGCCTCATATGCTGTTGGTAGGAATGTAAAATGGTGTGGCTGCATATAGATTTATATCCCCAAGAGAAATGAAAACATATGTCCACATAAAAACCTGTACATGAATGTACAACATTATTCATAATGGCCATAAAATGGAAACCACCCAAATGTCCATCAACAGATGAATGGATAAAAAAAATGGTATATTCACTCAATGGAAGATTAGCTGGCAATAAAAACAAATGCTACATGCTACAATGTGGATGAACCATGAAAATATCATGCTAAGTGAAAGAAGCCTGACCCAAAAGCAACATGTTGTATAATGCCATTTATATGAAACGTCCAGAAAAGATAAACGTGTAAGACAGAAAGTAGGCTTGCGGTTGCCAGGGGCTGGGGAGAGGAACTAATGTTACTGGGTATGGAGTTTCTTTTTGGGAGGATGAAAATGTTCAGAAAGTAGACTGTGATGTTGGCTTCACAACTGTGAATATTCTAAAACCCACTGAATTGTACATTTAAAAAGGGTACATTTTATATGTGAATTACATCTCAATAAAGCTGTGTGTGTGTGTGTGTGTGTGTGTGTGTGTGTGTGTGTGTAATATACCTAAACATTACTTTGAGGAAAAAGACCAATACAATCAAACATCCTCTTAGGGCTGGGGCCGTGTCTTGGTCATTGTGTGGTCACAGTGCCTGGACTGAGTAAATGCTCAGTGAAAATACATCTGGTAGAATTGAGTTGACTTGTTGACTTAAGGTTGAGCTGAACTAAATTTTTTAGTTCAATTCAGAGGTTAAGTGGACTTGAGTTTTTAAAAATATATATTTTTATTGATTTCAGAGAAGGGAGAGGAAGGGAGAGATAGAAACATCAATGATGAGAGAGAATCACTGATCGGCTGTCCCTTATACGCCCCACGAATTATGCAGTTTGACTGACACTAACCTATCCTGGTTCTACCCCTTGACCAGTCTCCTCCTTTCTTCCTGTACCCTCCAATCTCTTCTAGCACCCATGGGGGGTGTATCTCCCCTCTCCCCTGTACTCAGAATTGGTTGCTGCATCTGGGTCTAGTGAAGAGCTAGAATAGAGCAATGGTTAAGAGCAAGGCTTTGTATACCTAAAATTTACATAATGTTAGTATGTAACCCCAATAAATGTCATTTAAAAAGAAAAAGAAGAGAGCAAGACTTTCTATGCCCAATAAACTCAGTCTGAATTCTAGCTCCATCAAGGTGACCTTGGGCTAGATACTCTCTTTCCTCATCTCTAAGTGGGGTGATGGTGACGGTAGTAAAAGACTAACAAGATAATACCCAGAAATGGCTCAGCACAGTGCCTGGCACTTAATGAACACCTCCGTATGTGTTAGATGTTATTCTTAGTATCATTTCAAATTAGCGCCTTAGCAATGTACTGTGTTCTCCATAATATATAAGTCCCATGTGAAACATGCTCCAGAGGCTTCAGAGTTCTTGGTCTCTGATAAGCAGCATCATAGAATGGAAGGGAAATGGCTCTATTCCTCCCAGCTCGGAGCTCAAGTTTTCTCAGTCTCGGTTTCCTCATCTGTACAATGGGGACTGCAATACTACTACTGCATGGTGTCACTGCAAGATAAGGTAGGTGAACTGATAATGAGAATTCAATAAGTAGGTACTGCTCTCTTACACTAGCTTTAGCTCTGTAGTATCTTTTCCCTGAGGTTCTGCTACAAAGAGACTGGGAACAAGGCCCCAGTTTGAAGTTTGTACCTCGTTTGAAATCCAGCAGGAACCAGCGGTAGCAGAAGTAGAAGTGAGTGTAGTCTCCATTCTGATGCATCAGTTCAAAGAGCTCTGAGTCCAGGATCTGTCAGAGGAAGGAAAGGTGGGCATCAGCTTCCTGAGGAAAGGCCAGACCAGGGGGGACAGCTGCATAAATGAAGGTCCATCCCCATACTGGACACCATATAGCCCTTCATAACCAGGTGCAGTAAAAAATGGGCAAAGGATTTGAAGCAGAAATCAGCCTCGCTCAACCTAACCCAGTCATTTCTCCTAAATAGATATGCAAATGGCCAATAAGCACATGAATAATTCTCC